TTGATTTCCAGCCACGTGATGAAATCCAGTGCAACACCCTCATTCCCTTGGCAATAAAATGCAACAGAATTAGCCCTTCTTTAGAAAGTAAGTAAAGGAACACATGTGGAGCGTGCTGTCTCTTGACATGGTGTGCCTAGAACTCTTCCCTGGCCTTAGAGAGGGAGGAAATCCACTGACACACCCCACGCCTGTACCTATTGACCATATTCTGATAGCTATTTACCCAGGGAACAATGCCCACTGCCTAAAACCTCTGTCCATGATCACACAAGCTAATCAGAGCCAGCAATGGTCAGTAGTTGGATGGAAGAATGCCAGAAAAAATAACTCAGGCTGCCATAAGTCATCTCAGTGATTTGTAAGTAATACTAGGATCTTGGAGAGTGAGGAGTCAGTGCCCCAGAGTGGTGCCTAGGAGCATTGTTTACAAAGAATCTTTTCTTCCTTTTCCTTTCTTTCTTTGTGTGTGTGTTCTTTTGTGTTTGTATCTTTTAAAATTAATTTTTAAATAAATTTTATTGTGTTTATTTGGGATTTACAAATGATGCTATAGGATACATATAGATAGTAAAATGGTTACTATACTGAAACAGATTAACATCTATCATCTCGGTTATTTTTTTGTGTGAAAACAGCTAAAATATACTTATTTAACCAAAATTCTAACACAATCTGATTTTACTAACTATGATTCTCATGATGGACTTACTCATCCTACATATCTGGTACTTTGAATTCTTGGATACTTTATATTCTTTGACCTATATCTCCCCATTTCCTCCTCCTTCCCTACCTCCAACACTGCCCTTGTAAACACTATTTTATTCTCTATCTCTGTATATTTTATATGACCTTTTAAAAAAAGATTTCATATAAGTTATATCACATGATATTTTCCTTTCTGTGTTTGGTCTAATTCGTGTAAGATATTCTTTTAAAATTAAACCTCTTAAGGACTTTTTAAACAGAAATTTGATTATATATTCCATAACCATTGTGGAATACTATCACAGGTACATAAAAAAATTATCAGCATACATCTCCAAATAAAAACTAAAGCAAAAAATGTTCGTATCTATAGAATATAAGCAAAGCACTGTGCTAGATGTTTAGCACAGTCCATGGCATCTAGAGGCACTTAATAATGCAGGAAAGAACACAGAGTGTCCAGCATTACCAGTTGACAATAGCTGAAATCAGAGTTAAAGAAGATTTTGAGTTACTTCCAATGAAAATGCTTCTAAAAATTACCAGTGAACTGAAGATTCCTAAAAACCAATGTCAAAATCAGTGTGCTATCACAACATTAGCTACATCCCAATCCTTTTACTCTTCCATGCTTGCAGCTCTGATGAAGTCAATGAAAGGTAGAGCTAGGAAAGTTATAATGCAATTTGGCCCACAACTGGTAACTAAATATGAAAATCAGAGTGAATCTAACTAACACAGGGAAATTGAACCGATGGACGACCTGCTGGGTTGGATAGTATTGGAATCATTTGGCTGATGATGGTAATCAGCCACCATTTTATTTTGAAATGGAAGCCCAGTAATCAAATAAGTTTAGTAAAATTTCTTGTGTTTACAGAGAACTAGTCAAAATGATTCTATATTTTCCTGTTTAAGCATCCTAGTGGAAGTCATGTTTTGCCTTTCTAATTGAATATTTGCTTACATGTGTGTGATACAGTGTCCCTGAATGAAGCAAAAAACACACATCATACTTTTACTTCTAATTTTTGAAGTTTTTCTTTATCCCAAGGCCCCAACTTGCCAAAAAAATACATTTGTACTATAGTGTATCTGTTAGCTCTTTCAGTTGATTATCAAACTCTGAAAATCTTGTCACCTATATATAACAAAAACGAGTGTGAAAAGAACACTCGATTAGATGCAGAATGTGCCATTTATCAGCAGCATTTTACCTGAGAACAATGCTTAACTATCCTTTGTTTCCTAACACAAACAATTAGAATATACAGTACCTACTACCCACCTTACAGGGTTGTTAAAAGAAGCAATCACATATGTCAGAATGACAGAACCAAGCAGAGTATAAAAGCATAGACTTGTAATTCAAGAGCCCAGTTTGAGCTCTGGCACTACTCATGTACTCTGTGTCCTTGGGCAAATAACTTGACTTTTAAGCCTTAGTTCTTAGTTCTTAGTTCTTCAAGTGTCAAATGAGGATGATAATACACACACTTGTTGAGAGGATTAAGTTACACAATAAACAGGGGTGGAACATCTGTGATAACAGTGATATTGATGAACATTTCCCATGTTTCAGGTACCTGATAACATATGTGAGAGTGCACTCTAGGATCCAAAGCCATGCAGTAGAGGCCTAGCTTATGTGCTTTTCTATTTCCATCATTTGCTTCCTTGTGGCCTTGCTTCTAGAGCCCATAGGCTTGCCAAAGTAGAGGGCTCTTACCAAGGTGCCAACTTCAAGGAGCAAACCCTTGGCTCTATGCACGAAAGGTTATCTCTAACCTGGGGGTTGGATTTGGTTGGGTCTCAGAGGAAGCAGATGTGTTATTTTGCATTCCTCATGCATTTCTGATGGACTTCATCATAAGGGTCTAGGATACTGGGAAAAGGAAAACATATCCAGAAGGAAGAAACTGATTAAGCATATCCTTCTTCTCCCTCAACTCAGCCACCACCTTTTGACTGCCACTGCCTCAACTAAAAGTAAAATTTTCTGTGATTTTGTTATTACTGCTTTTATTATTGTCAACATAATTGCCACTATTATTAATAGCTAAATATACAGTAACATATGTAGTGATATTTTGAGAAGAATTCTGTTATTACCCTTATATACAAACTAGTGAAATAAGGATTTTGTCAGAGAGGATAAAATACTTGCCAAAGCTAGCAAGTGTTATGGCTGAGACTCAAAGCTGGAGCTGTCTCCTCGAAGCTCCTATTTCCAATTCCTATGTTACTCTCTGGTCTACTTATTGACAACTAGGGCTCAAATTCAACACAGCATGAGTTTAAAATCCATGTGTTACACTTTCTTGTACCCACCCAGAACTTACACAAGTGAAAATTAGGACACAGACATTAATAAATGCCATTTGAATATTTGTTGACACCAAGATTTTGTAGGAGTTTTCTTTTCTGAAGATTGTAAGAAAGATGCTGCACAAATTAATACTTAGTTTAGTCATCCCAATTCTGATGATTTAGCAAACTAGGGTTCTTGCAATAGATATTTTCTTTCTAGTTTTTTTGTTTTGTTTTGTTTTTTGTTTTAGGAAAGTCTTATTATCTGCAAATTCATTAAAGTCATTGATTCCTCCATTGCTCGAGAACCTTGATAGCCTCTAAGCTTACCATCCTTCCTGCCCTCTGGTTCTCAGCTGTGTGAGAATGGAAAACTTAGGTTGGTGAAGAGGGCACTACACTGGTCCAGTTTAGCTGTGCAACTTCACCTCTGCCCTGCTCTTCTTATTCCCAGGAAAGCCACCTCTTGTCCTTTCCCTGTCTCCAGGCAGCCTTCAGAGAAAGACTCTCCTAGGCAGTTTGTTCAGTACTGCCAATGCCTTCCCAGGAGGAATGATCTTCTGCTCAATTTGTTCTCTTCTCTGATGAAGACCAAAATAAATCGTTTTGATTGATAGTGAACCAAAATGAAAATGTCCCATGTTATAGAATAGTGAACTTTAACCTGGGAATTTGTTTTCCTACATGAGATGTCTTTTATTATTTCAAGATATATCCTCACATGGTATTTTCATGTTACAAAGATGAGTTTTCTTAAGTTTAATGTAACTTATTGTAATTAATACTCTTAAAAGAAAAGGTGAAGTTGAGTGTAGCCATGTAATTATCAGTAAAAACTATAGGATTTACTATATAAAAAAGCTCATTTAAATGTATTATGTTAATTATATAACTATAAATACAAGTTACATGAAAAGCCTTGATTGTATTTGTTTTGTCTATTCTACTGATGTAGCCTTAATTGCCATGATAAGAAAACACTTACACTGAAATCACATCAGACTGTTGTGACCACTCCAGAAACCTGCTCTAGTAAAATATCAAACAAATGTCATGTCACTGCTTGCCTCATGGAGGGGGGATTAAACACTGAATATGTCCCCCCATTTAATATTTAGTCAAAATGTGAGCGAGATATCCTTTGTGTATTAACTCCAAAAAAGGAAACAATCACTCATAGTTTAAAAAAAAAAAAACCCATGAGTCATTGTAATTGCATTGTCATGAATTATAAACCTCAGAGCAAACTGCAGTAAGTTCCTTAGCAAGTTCCCAAAGTAGCAGATTGGATCCCAGTAGTTATTTCAGCCTTGGGTAATCAATCAGAGAGCTGAAAAAGAATAAATTAAAGGTAACCTAGTTCTTCTATCACCAATGATTTATAATTTATCACAGCAAGTGATACATGCACTGATTGCCTATTTTCTTTAGGATATATACCAATCAAGAGCTATTTATCCATGGTCGATTTCTAACCTACCACCAGTTTAAAACTATTGAGGCAATAGGATTAAGACTAATTTTAACATTAGTTTAGAAAAACATAATTAAAAAGGTAAATATGCTGGATTCAGGAGCCAAGTATAAATTCCATTTGGATGATGTGTAGTTCTGGATTACTAATTTATCTATATGGCTAATCCCCTTCATTAGAGTGCATATTTCAGAATTGGATACAATTATTTACATGTTGAAAGTGGTGATAGTTATTACATGACATTAGTTTCACTAATTCCACCAAAGATAGTTTTTCTTTGCCAACAATCTTCTCTATAAATCCTGTTGTTATGCATGCAATTTTGTTTGCTTTGGGGGTTTTCTAATTTTGAAAAGCACAGATCTAGGCATGATTATTCATGTTTGGGATATAAAAAAAAAAAATCCTTATAATTCTGGCTTAGAGGGAAGCTAATACAGTAATTTACTCTGTTCCACAGTCCCAAAGATGATCTTTCTGGCTTTGCTTTTCTCTCCTGTAGCAACCATCCACCTTAAGTTATGCAAGACAAATCATTAAGAAGGAAGGCTTGGGACTCCAGGGCCTCAACAAAGGATTTACAGCAACTTTGGGACGTCATGGAGTTTTCAACATGGTTTATTTTGGCTTCTACTACAATGTCAAAAACATTATTCCTGTCAATAAGGTAACTATTTAATGGATTAAAATCTGGGTGAGGGATGCTATCTCTAATAACAGCTTCATTTGTAGGGTCTTTATCATACCCCAGTCATTGTGCAGAACATTTATATCCATTATCTAATTTGATCCCCACATCAGCCTTATGTACTGAGTGTTGCTATTCCATTCAAATCCAGGAAATAAGGTTTAGAAAGATCAAGTATATTTCCCAGGATCTCAGAGTAAATAGTGAAGCAAAGACTTGAACCCAAGTCTGATGTAAAAATTTATCTTCTTGAAGAAGGTACCATATCTGAATATTTTCCATTTATCAGTAATAGGAATTTCTACACACTGTGTTATTCCTTTCTCAGTCACATCACTTTATCAAGAAGTAGAAGTTTTCATATTCTAAAGAAATTTTGAGCTCATGGAGAAAAAAAAATGTCAGTCTAAATTTTAATTTTTGCCTAGATATTTTTAATTTACATAGGTTAATTAAGGTTAAGCAATAAATAAACTCTTCTAGAATCATTTGCTTCTGGTGCAATATAATAACAATTATTATTATTATTATTATTTTCATTACTTTTAAAGGTAACTGACATGCCAACTGCCTGATTTCTACCATATAAAGTTAGCAAAGAATGTGTTTCAATCTAGAGTTACAGAATCCCCTCTCCCATGAAGCTGCACATCCATGGAGCTAACCTCCCTTTTAGACTCTGAGACAAGTAATTTGTATAGCATGAGAGAAGTGTCTATTCCTCTGATTCTCCAACTCTCTGAAGTCTTGAGACAATGAGCCAGATGTGATGGGACACCTCCAGCAGCTCCAGAGACAGAGGCTGAAGCAGGAGGATCGCAAGTTCAAAGCCAGCCTCAGCAATTTAGGGAGAGCCTAAGCAACTCAGTGAGGCCCTGTCTCTAAATAAAGATACAAAAAAGAGCTGGGGATGTGGCCCAGTGGTTAAATGCCCCTGGGTTCAATCCCCCCGCCCCAAAAAAAGAAATTACATACAATGAAATGAATTATATAAATTATTTACATAAATGAGATAAATATTGATATACCTTACTTATAATATTTGTGAATGTGTTTTAGTATATTTGCTATTACAATAAAATGAATTTATTCCCACTGCTCAGAAAGAAATTCGGAAATATGGATAAGATGTACATATGATCACATGTCCCCAAACTTTAAAAAAATCCACAGATACAGACTTCACCCTACAATTAATCCAAACTCAAGGTATTAAAGTTCTATATTATTAGTAAAGAACCAGAAGGCAGTCATTTTTTCGAACATTGGAATATTCTAAAACTATGAGGAGTTTGTTTATCTTTTGCAAACCAACCTTGTTAATAATATGAACATAATGCTGTATTTCACTGAATAGTTTTATTAAGACAATGAGCCAGGTGTGGTAGTACATGCCTGTATATATGTGCTGTATGTACCAGACACTCTGGTAAAGCCCAAGATATCCTATGATGACTAAAACATTGCCCTATTCTTAAGGGGCTTCTCCAGGAGACTTAGAGAAACTCTCTGAACAGACACAGTGAAAATGGAACATCATGTTTAGATAAACATTATTTTGGAAGTCACTAGTTAGTAATAATGTGATATTTTATTCTAGATCATGTTTTAAAAAATGTACAAATTCTCAGATTTGGCTTTTCTTTTTTTTAAATTTTTTATTGTTGGTTGTTCAAAACATTACATAGTTCTTGACATATCATATTTCACACTTTGATTCAAGTGGGTTATGAACTCCCATTTTTACCCCGTATACAGATTGCAGAATCATATCAGTTACACATCCATTGATTTACATGTTGCCATACTAGTGTCTGTTGTATTCTGCTGCCTTTCCTATCCTCTACTATCCCCCCCTCCCCTCCCCTCCCCTCTTCTCTCTCTACCCCCTCTACTGTCATCCATTTCTCCCCCTTGTATTATTTTTCCCTTTCCCCTCACTTCCTCTTGTATGTAATTTTGTATAACCCTGAGGGTCTCCTTCCATTTCCATGCAATTTCCCTTCTCTCTCCCTTTCCCTCCCACCTCTCATCCCTGTTTAATGTTAATCTTCTTCTCATGCTCTTCGTCCCTACTCTGTTCCCAGTTACTCTCCTTATATCAAAGAAGACATTTGGCATTTGTTTTTTAGGGATTGGCTAGCTTCACTTAGCATAATCTGCTCTAATGCCATCCATTTCCCTGCAAATTCTATGATTTTGTCATTTTTTAATGCAGAGTAATACTCCATTGTGTATAAATGCCACATTTTTTTAATCCATTCATCTATTGAAGGGCATCTAGGTTGGTTCCACAGTCTTGCTATTGTGAATTGTGCTGCTATGAACATCGATGTAGCAGTGTCCCTGTAGCATGCTCTTTTTAGGTCTTTAGGGAATAGACCAAGAAGGGGAATAGCTGGGTCAAATGGTGGTTCCATTCCCAGCTTTCCAAGAAATCTCTATACTGCTTTCCAAATTGGCTGCACCAATTTGCAGTCCCACCAGCAATGTACAAGTGTACCCTTTTCCCCACATCCTCGATAGCACTTGTTGCTGTTTGACTTCATAATGGCTGCCAATCTTACTGGAGTGAGATGGTATCTTAGGGTGGTTTTGATTTGCATTTCTCTGACTGCTAGAGATGGTGAGCATTTTTTCATGTACTTGTTGATTGATTGTATGTCCTCCTCTGAGAAGTGTCTGTTCAGGTCCTTGGCCCATTTGTTGATTGGGTTATTTGTTATCTTATTGTTTAATTTTTTGAGTTCTTTGTATCCTCTGGATATTAGGGCTCTATCTGAAGTGTGAGGAGTAAAGATTTGTTCCCAGGATGTAGGCTCCCTATTTACCTCTCTTATTGTTTCTTTTGCTGAGAAAAAACTTTTTAGTTTGAGTAAGTCCTATTTGTTGATTCTAGTTATTAACTTTTGTGCTATAGGTGTCCTATTGAGGAATTTGGAGCCCAACCCCACAGTATGTAGATCGTAGGATTTGGCTTTTCTTAATTTGGATCAGTATTCTAAAAATAAATCGCCATCAGTCTTTTTTTATATTGAATAAATCATCATATTTAAAAACAATTGGCTTCTCTAACCTTCAAACTACGAAAGAATATTTTAAAATTCACGAATATTTATCTCCTTTTTTTAATATCAAAACTTGCCCTATTTCTAGCTATTCTTCCTTTCCATTTATAAAGGATATACAAGAATGTAAATTTTATAAGAAAAGGGACTTTGTTCGTTTTTGGTTTTCTACTGCTGATTCTCAGAGATTAAAACAGTGCTTGGGGGCTGGAGATATGGCTCAGTTGGTAAAGTGCTTGCCTTGCATGCACAAGGCCCTGGGTTCAATCCCCAGCAATACCAAAACAAAACAAAAATAGTGCTTGGCACAGAGCAGAACCCTCAGTAAATGTAGATCAAATGAAATAAAGGGATGAAGAAAAGAAGAAAGAAGGAAAGGAAAAGTTTGGGCAGGGTTGGGGTTTCTTCCGCTTTTATGGATATTAAAAAGAAGTGTTGGCATTTGAGGGAGTCACTGCGTTAGGTGATACTACTTTATCTAGGAAGCTGGCAGAAATTTTATGGCTGAAGGGCTTAGAGCTAGAATTGAATTTGACCCCATAGTCAAACAGAATTCCAGAAGGAAAAAAAATAGTCACTTAAGGTCATATATAACATAAGTTCTTTATTTTAAGAAGTAAGATATTGATTTGGAAAAATAATTCTAAAAATGGAGGTTTCCATTGACAAAATAAATTTCTCCAAGTTGCCACAGTAGATTTCCAGAGCAGACATGTTTATTGGCAGCAACCAAAAATCCTGTTAACTTCCACAGTATAGACAGGATCCCACTGCCCAGAAAAACCTTTAGAGAATAGAGCACAAAAGGTATGGGAATGACCTCTTCTTCCCATGTCTCATTATATTCACTATCTGTCCAGTTTTTTCTAATTATATTCAGTGAAATGTCAACCAGCATTTTGCCAAATGAATTTTCTATTAGCTAGATTATACCAGTAAAGAAGTACTTCATTCATTAGTTATGACCCTTAAAAAAAAGTCTTCCAAATCTTTAAGTAAAATATTTTGCATTTTGTTCTCTATGGTTTTAGAACCAATTTTTAAATTTGCATTATAATTCTTAATAAGCTGTGAACTCAAGACTTTAACATCTCCCTGTCCCACACCCCTATCCAAAGCACCATTATAACAGGGAGGTTAATGATATATGGTTTGTCATTATTTTAAAAATGAAGTTTTATAAATTCTACTGTAACCCTTTCTGTACATTAGATTTTCCCTAGTGGAGAAAGCCAAAGCACTGCATATTTGACTATTAGCAATATTAAGTCATTAACCTTGACAGTGCTGAAATGTGCTATGTTGGCTCAGAATTTCGTCTCCAAATTTTAGTTTCCAAGCTAGAAGAACTGAATCCTTTTCATTTAATTATCTGAGCACTTGGGCCCCCTAGAATAGGGCGGTGGTAGAAACATTATGCAAAAATGGGGGTTGGCAAGTCTGAGCATGACTCCAACATATATTTACAGAGTGTCTTACAGGTGCCAGGCCCTGTGTTGGACACCAGAGGATGCAATAGTGCGAAGCTATCAGATCTTACAAGGCCATGGAAAGTAACAGTCAGAACAAGTAAACAAACACACACTTATAATAATGGAGAAATGCACCCAATATAAACCTAGAGGTCAGGAAAGGCTTTCGTGAGAGAGTGACATTGGAGCCGAAGAATGAATTAAGATTTAGCTGGTAACAGCAGATGGGCACAAGCATTCCAGACATATGGAACATCTAAGGAGGGAGGGTGCTAGATGCCTGGGACAAGATGAAAGACAGCCTAGGTGACAAAAGCAAAAGTGTGAAGGCAGGAATCTGGCTAGAGACAGGGGACAGATTGTATTAACCATTATAGACCATGCTAAAGACTCTTATCTTTTTCTAAAGAGCACTAGTGTCTTAGTACATTTTCTATTG